ACTAGGGCTCGGTTAAAATGATCAATACTTATACTTTGATATTATTATACACTTAGAAAAATATTCTAAGTATAAAAATACCAATGCTTGGCCATGCTCGGAATTTACCTGAAAATTTACTCGGAACCAAACTAGGGTTCGGAGTCGATAAATTCTCGAATTGACATGCTATTATTTATCAACCCAAATTAATGGATTAATCTTAACTTATACTTGAGATAAAATTATTCAAAGAATAATTTATCATGTTTGAGCATTTAGCATAAATAATATAACTCGATAATTTCTAAAAATTACAGATTTCACTTATAGTCGAGCAGTGAAATCGTTCTGAATATTATTACTGTTTTGGGGCGTTACAAATCGCGTAACATTTAGTATGAGCATAGTGGTATAAATGAGTTGAGCCGAGCTCGAGTTCATGATACTCAAGCTTGAACTCGAGTCGAGTCGAACTCGAATTGTTAGCTAAACGAGCTGGTAATCGAGTTCGAGCTTGGCTCACTTACAAATATATAGTAACGAATCAAGTTCGAGTTGAATTCGAGTCTTAACTAGCGAAAAATATAGAAAATTATATATAAAAAAAAATTCTATTTTCGAGCCTTAATGACTTAACTAATCGAGTTTAAACAAGTTTATGTAAGAAATTTAACGGGCATGCTCATAACTATCAGGCGGAATTGAATAAACCCTAAGCATGTAATTCTATCAATTCATAGAATATAGATCTTTGCATAAATTAAATTGCACATAGAACTTACAAGAATCCAGCTTATAGTTCTTCCCTATTTTCTTGATCTATGATGTTGATCTGCATGGATTTGTCTTTGCATATGAATTGTTTCTCTCTCCCGCGTCTCTCGTATTTCCATAAAGCCCTTGATGTTGATAACTTTATTTTCGTATGAGATGGAAGAGAGGGACATGTAGTATATATAGGAGGAGAACTACAAACTTATTCCTACTAACATTCTCCATGTTCTAACCCTAACTTAATGTCCAAGTCAAACATCACAAATTTGACTCTTTAATATTAGAACATTAATAATTCATTAAATACATATTAACCTTAAATAAGTTTTATTATTAATTCAATTAGGTCCAATTAATTATATGGTCCATAATAATAGAATAATATATAAAATATTATTACATTCTCCCACTTAGACCATATAAGTGTCGAAACCCAAAGAACTACTTTAAGCGCGCACCTTTGATCAAACTTATAATTGAATACATTTATCTATAAGTTTAAAATTAAAATAGAAATTAACCGAGTCATGGCGGTCACAAGTCTTCGAGCGACATGATCTCTTCCATGTACCACAAATCATTTCTAATTCAACTTTACTTTCATATAGAACAAACTATTCGTACCATAACCATAAGCCATCTACCTTTTTATGTATATACTATAAAATAAATATCCATAATGATGATATTACATGTGAAGAATCAAACATCTTTAATCGAATTCTATAAGTGTCAAAATCAATAATTGAGCAATTTCATTCAGAATCGGTCAGTCCAACAAGGCCCCATTCGTTATTCCCAATTTTATTTATATGCTTTGCAATGGCTATAGGAAATAACCCTTTAATGGATCCGCTTTCATGCAAATAGTACTAGAATGCTCAAATGACACTTTAGTTCTTCACTTCTACTTTTACGACCAAGTATTTCAATTTTATGTGATTCACACCCTTTGAATACTTGTCATTCCTTGAAATATTATTGCTACGATACTGCGATAATTTCTTAGCGGCTTGGATAAGATGTCGATATTTCAAAGTCCTAAGATAAAGCATCGTAGCCCTAAATTTGACTTGTAGCCTCAAAGCATACCACAAACTCAAACTTAATCATGGAAGTCGCGGTGATGGACTTTGTCCCACTTTTCTATAATTTTGCTCCTTTAGACATTATGAGCAAAAGTCTGAATCCGAGTATCCAATTATAACCAATAATTTGGATCTTCTATAAGTTAGCATGTGTTATTTAATGCCTTGTAAGTACTTTAGAAATTTCTTTGCAGCATTTAAATAATCATTTAGGGATCACTTTTATATATTTGTTTGATGTATCAACAAAAAATATGTTATCAGACCTAGTACAAGTTTGTTTCACTTAAGACTCCTAATCATTTATATCTAAGAAATTTTCTCCATCACTTTTCATTTCATTTCACCTTTCGAACATTTATTATGGACTAAATGTGTCCCTTTTATGAATTGGAATTATACGGAATAACCATCCATTGTAAATATCTCCAAAACTCTCAAATAAAACTTTTATGGGATAAACTTTTAATCCTTGTAATCTATTCTAGAATATTTTTATTCTAATTACCAAGGACGTTTCAACCATATCCTTTATTTCATAATTTTCGGAGAGATAATTCTTTACTTCGTGCAACATGTCCACATTACTAGTAACTATAAATATGTCATTGACAAACAGAACTAAAATAACAGATCTACTCCCACTGACCTTAATGTAGATACACCAATTTACAGTATTCTCTACAAAACCATAAGCAGTGATGATATCATTAAACTTACGATACCATTGACGAGAAGCTTGTTTTAGTCCATATATTGATCTATCCAACTTACACACTAACGTTTCATTTCTTGTGATCTCAAAAACTTTTAATTAGTTCATGTAGATCTCCTTTTAAGTTTATCATTTAATAGGTGATCTTTATGTCCAATTGATAAAGCTTAAAATCATACAGAGCCACCATTACCATTACAATTCTCAAGTAATCTTTCTCGAAACGTGAGAGAGTGTTTCCTTGTAGTCAATGCCTTCCTTTTGGGTGTAACCTTTAGAAATAAGTCTGACTTTATATCTTTCGATATTACCTTTAGAGTCGTGTTTGGTTTCTGAAAAAACCCATTTACACTCAACTCTTTTAGACCCTTCAGGTAAATCTATTGAATTGAAGACTTTATTTTCATCCATTGACTTTAATTATTCTTTCATGGCATTGATAAACTTTTCTAGAATTTTCACTTTCCCTGGCTTGTCATTCATCAACCAAAGGTTGTTCTATAATCTCTTGATTGTTTGTAATCGATTCATTATCAAGTGTGTTTGGATCATTTTGTTATCATCTAAGTTACATGACGGTACTGTAACTAAAAAAAATAACAACCATTGATGGACTATCGGGTTTGGACTATTCAACCCGAGTTTCTTTAACATCCAAACTTCGTGGTTCCAAACTCCCACTGATTTGATCGTTTTTAATGAATCGAGCATTGTCGAAATTAGCAATTCTCATATTATGGTTAGGACAGTAGAACCTATATCCTTAGATTTTTCCGGATAGCCAATGAAAAAACCACTGACTGTCCTAGGACTAATTTTCTTTTCATGTGGATTATATACCTTTACTTGTGCTTGACAGTCCCAAACATGAAGATGCCTCAAACTAGGTTTTTTACCCTTCCATAGTTCATAATAAGAACTACTTTACTAGGGACCCGATTTACCCAATATGCAACAATCTTTAATGCATGCATCCACATAGAAAACGTTGATGTTGAATTACTCAACATACTCCTACCCATATTCTTTTAAGTACGATTTATCCTCTCAACAACACCATTATGTTGAGGAATCTCAATTATAGTGTATTGCACACAAATATTTCAAATCTCAAGAAACTTTGCAAATGGACTACGACATTATCCTCTTTTATTGAACCTACAATAATATTCACCACTCTAGTGAGATCTCACAACTTTTACTTATTTATCTAACTACCTCTCCATCTCATCATTGTATATCTTTAGATAGTCCAATG